TGAGGATGGATTTCCTTGCCGGTACCGGGCTCCCATTAACAACAGCTGCTTCGCGGGAAGGGGTGGTTTCACGGGATTATTCCATGAAATCGAAAACAAAGTGGTGCTCGGGATTTTTTTTAAAGGGAAATCTTTAATGAAAAAAAAAAAAAAATTCCTGAGATTAATCTGCACGTCTTTCTGTAAGTAGGAGGAAAGCATTTATCTAGTGAGTCGGGCAGGCGTGGTAGGAAATTTGCTTGAAGTGGCCAAGTCCAAGGACGCAGTGGTTAAACACAGACATGGAACTAAAGGGCCTCAATCCCACTTACAAAGTTTGCGAGAGTTACTCAGACTTGGTTCAGGAAGGGTTTTTCCGAAAGAAGGAGCTCATGAAATTATGCGAGCTGTGACTGCCCAGGAAAATGCCTACTGTCCAAATAGCAGTAAATGTTGGAAACAAGTGATCTGCCTGCCAATGGTTAACCTACCGTCCTGCGAACCTCCAGACACATCAAAACGGCCAGAAGAGATGGCGAAAGGAGGCAGGAAGCTAGAACTTGTGTGTGGCAGCATGCTGCCTGGGTGCCTATGAATGCATATTGTGTGCATGCGTATTGGGATGTATCTTTGTGACAAAAACGTGTTATTTAGAAACACTCTAATGTGGCTGCTCCACTGTTTAAATAGCAATATTCTCATTCATATTTACTTACTCTGATTAAATATTTTGTTTCTATTTCAGTTTAAACAACAAAATTGTAGAGTTGCTAAAGCATCCTAGGATATTCTGGGTAAGAGGATTTTGTTTAGTGCCAGTGGATTTATGATTGTATTTTTCTAGTTGTACGTATCCATGGGCTTTCCTTTCAGTTTTGGCCCTAAGTGCTTTGGTACACACTGCAAGCATCATTGACATCGATTGCCTGGGCAAGGCAATTGCCCAGTTGATGGCTGGGAGCCAGCCACTTGGGGTTGAGATCAGCTTTCACCACCTACAGCTACTTTACTTGGAATTTCGGAGTAGTATTTTTGAGTAACCACTCAGAGCTCTCTAAGCAGTCATTATAGGTCTTGTAATTAAATGACTACTATTTAGACTATTTCTACTTTTTCTGTATGAATGTGCTTGGACGCATCCATTGCTTTTGGAGGGGTCAGTTTCCCAATACTCCACTCTTTCAGGTGTTCTGGGTCATCTTTCTTGCTGCTTTGATAAACAAAACTGAAATGACAACAAGCTTTCCTGGCACCTGGCTGCCAGGCTGCTGAGCTTAGCCAAAGATACTTCCGCTTTCTCTGTATTACTTTGCTGTACATTTTCTGTGTGGTTGCTGTGAATGTCACCTGCACCTATGCTTTTACTTTAAATACATGATTTATATATACAATTTAACTTTAAAAATATTGTATTTTTTAGACTTTTTTTCCTAAACATTTAAAAAACCCCAAATAGATGAAGTAGTTTGAAGATTTACTTGTCAAAGGTGTGGTTCTCCAGCTGCTGGCAGCTCATGTTACTTCCAGCATTTTGAAGTGAGCCTAAAGAGGCTCTGTAACACCACGCAGTTCATTGGTAACATTTCACGCTCTTTTGCAGAGATGGACGTAGGTATTCAAGAAGCAGTCACTCGTTTTGTGCCATTTTTCCTTACTCTTTTCTGATCGTTGTACTATTCAGTACCTTTTCCTCCAGAGGGCAGTAACTACATGAATGTAGAATGAAAAAAAAAAGGTCGGGGAGGAGTGTTTTAAAGGGAAAGGTAAATTGCTTCATAATCAGGTGCTAGGAGTGACCCACGGAGCCTATGACAGCAGAGAGTGTGGGATGAACACGCTCCCCATGTTGGCTTTAGGAATCCTAAACTCCTTAGAGCTAGAAGGGTGTTTCCTTGTTTCCACCTCTGTGCTTTATTGGGACTGTCATTTGCCACTTCTTTTCCTTCACCTCTGAGCACTTGTTGGCTGAGACGGGACAGCAAAGCAAGTGGCTTCTGCTGAAGAATTTCTAGAGCAGAACAAAAAGAAGCCCTGTCTTTGTGGATCAAGTGACAGATACTTAAAAGAAAAAAGTGACAGATCTTCCGAGTGAGCCAACATATTTGTGTTAAGAGCTGCTGAACAAATTGGGCTCACAGGAATGAATAATCGCACTCTGTAGTATTGAACCATGAGGGGTAAGTTTTTCCACCCACAAAATAGGTTTTACATTTCAACACTCCTCCCTGCCCTGATTTATCCTCATTTTAACAGCTATCAAAGAAGATATTACTATAACTGTGAAATTAAAATTTAGTTGGCACCATGGTATTACTCTGCCTTTAGAAGCAGACCTTTCTTTCAAAGGCTACACAGTGTTAGCCTAGCAGGAATTAAGCCTCACAAATCACCTTGCTGTACGAGTGGGAAGACAGACGAAAAGAGATCGGAGCTGATGATGCAAAGGCCCAGGGGAAGGCATGAGCAGAGTTGGGATGAGGGCTAATGTAGGAGGCATGCTGTGCTTCCTAGCCTCCCAAGGCAACAGTGTTCCCTTAGAAATACGTAGAACAGGGTGAAATGGCCACGCTAAGATAAGGGGATAAATGCTACAAAGGTTTTTGTATAACGGGAGCATTTATAGAAAGGAAACAAAACAAACCCTGGTTGCATTTCTGTGGGCAGCCTATCCCACTAACACCTTTTGGACTGAGCCAAGACCCATCCCAGAGGAGAAATGAAAGTTTGGACGTGACAATTTTGCTCGGCAGCTCCACATGTCTGCTCTGGGGCTGCTTGCACCCATTTTAGCACAGCACTTCGCTTGGCAATGCTTCATTGCCATGCAAAATACATTTGTGAGCCAGATTCTATAGTGACTTCTGGAACACCTATCTCAAGGCAATAGGTCTAATCATAATGGCAGTCACCCTCCCACCATAGAACAATTTTCTTGGGTATTGCCTCTAGTCACTCCACCCTTTGGAGTTAGAAGGCAGAAACTCCCTGGGACTTGGCCCCATATAAACAAGACCACATAAAATGTGCTGAGGAAATGTGAAGGGCATTCTGCCCAAGTGGTAGCTAAGAGGCCTCCCTGTTCACACATATTTATCCAGCAGCGTGGTACCATTAAGAAGATATATAATAGCTGGATATGAACCAACTGGCCCTACTCTCCTGCAATGCTGCTTTGTGAAATATAAGCCCCCATTTACAATGGAACTGTATGACACGTGTACTTTAAGTTCTTATTTCTTAACACTGTGAGATAAAATCTAGTCATCTTAGTGCTATGCTGTGTCCTTTACTCCCTTGCATTCCTTTCCAGGTAAGGTTGTCAGAAGCTTGTGGAATAGGAGCTAGTCCAAATTGCAGTGTCAAATCCCAGGCACTTTATTAAAAGCATATGAAACCTCACTTCTCTGTGTCTCTCCTCTTGCCATTAGGATTTAGGATCTTCCACAGATGGTTGCAAAGCTTCTGAGAATCAGTCTCTGCAGCATGAGTTTGTGACGTCCTGCAGAGCGGTGTTTTCCTAAGCCATTACAGGCTGAGATCCTGCCTTAGACCAGTGCTGGGCAGCTAGGAGACAACACACACAGTAGCTATAGTAGCAACCTGCTCTGTGCTCACAGTCCCCTTCTGGTACCCTGGAAGGACAGTCACCTGGCTCCCATTTCTTCTTACTTAGCCCTAATGGATGCCTGGTATCCCAGGGTGAAAATACATCAATAGTTCTGCAGCTACATTTTCTTTGAAGCTGCCCAGTAAAATGATTCCCTGGAGGAGGTATCTCTCAAGTGCCCATTTTCTCTCTTCATCTGTAGTAGGCAATAACAGAGCTTATGCTTTTCACCTGTGTAACTGTGTTCTACCTCCCCACATTTACTGTTGCTCATCCTACACTCTCTCTATATGTTCTCTGGCCCTAGTTTAATGCCCTTGGGTATTGCACAAATAACAGCAGGCAGATGCTGCAAGTACTCCCCTGTGGAACTGGTAACGCTACTTAAACAGCAACAACAGTTCTTCAGTTTTCCTTGCTTTCTGCTGCAGTACTAGAAGAGAAGTAATGCATTAAAAATATCACGTCCTATGAGAACACTGAGATGTCTTTTTCTAGAAAACAAAGTCTTTAAAAAAACAGATTCCAAATTAATTCAGCAGGCTAAAGAAAGAAAAAAAGAGAAAGTTTTCCCAAGCACTAGGAATTCTTCCAAAAGGGGTAGAGAACAAAAATGGATGTAAAGCCAAAGTTGCTATAAAAAGAGTAACAGTGAAAAATTCATTGTAGCCTTCTATTGGGTCATTGACATTCTGACCCCTTAGCAACTAATAAATCCTGGAATCGTTGTCACAGTGAATCAACAGGGTAGGGGTAAGTAGTTGTCCAGCCAAATTAGGATAATTTCAGTGGCCACAACTTATCTTAATAAGTACACATAATTTATTGGTAAGGATCACAGTGAATCTAGAAGCAGTGTGACACTGGGTGAAATATGTGAGACCGGGAGACAATGAGTCAAACTCCCATGGCTCCTAGCTACAGTGAAAGGTTTAATACTGTTTATTTATCAGATTTGGAGGGATAATTTCCAGATGAATTGGTACATCTGTACTGGTCTGGAAATAGCGTGCATTAAACACTGATACTTTATCACAGCCTGCCTCCTCTTTGCTTCCTCACAGTTTGGGACGGAGTCTGGCTCAATCCTGTTTGGAATCAGTAGAATATGATTTAGTGGGGGTGGAGGTGAGGCAGCCTAACAAAGACTAAAAGAATCAGATTGTGATTAGTTTCTAGAAAGTATTGAAGGAGAGACCAAGAGACACAGGCACTATCAATAAACCACAATATAAAAAAAAGTTTTATAGATTTTATATTTAGATATTAAAGCTTTACAGAGTCATATGATTAAAAGAGATACAAGATTTTGAGAAATACCTTTGGTATATAATTTTCCCTTCTGCACATAGTCAGTCATGAACGTTATCTACAGTAGGGCTATGATGCATAAAAAATAACGTTAATAAAATGACAGGAGTGCTTTAAGAATTACGTAAAAACTCTACACTGGCTATGTTTGTTTGATGTCTATCCTGTCATATTTCACCCATGTAGTTTGTTTCAACCATATTTCACGATTCTTTGGTAGCAAATAAAAAAAGTAGTACTATATGAAAAAGGGAAGTAGGTGGATAATTCATTAATGTTTCAGATGGAGAAAAATGGCTTATTTTATTAAAAAAGGAAATCCTCAATTTATTATGAAATAATATTTATTTACAGGTATTTTACATTTTTAGAAAATAATACAATTGTACTTTAAAATGCTTCATTTATTTTTATTACTTATCTGCTTGTACAAAAGAAGCAAACACACTGTCTTCTTGTTCTAGCAGGACCTCAGGCTTGTCATATTCCAAAATAACTCCTCTCTTCATTACAATAACCAAATCTGCATTGAGGATTGTGTGCACGCGGTGCTGAAAAACAAATAAACAAAATGCTAGTTCAGTGTATCTATCAAAT